CACCTATTGTGTTCCAGAGACATTATTTATAAGATCTCTAATCTCATCACAATCCCTAAAGAGTAAGTTTTATCACTGTTTGCAGAGGACACAGAAGGAAAGCTAAGGAACTTGTCCAAGGTATACAGTTAAAAAGCAGAACTGACCCCTGGCTGGTGTGGCTTAGTTGATTGGGCATAGTCCTGTGCACTAAAAGGCACATGCCTGGGTTTGGGGCTCAATCCCCGGCAGGGGGCATGCAAGAGGCGGTCGGCATTGTTTTGCTCACATCGATCTTCCTCTCTCTTCCTCTAAAAATAAATTTAAAATCTCAAAACAAAAAAAAGCAGAACTGAGATTCAACCCATACTGCAAAATCTCATGTCCCCTTATCTTGCTTGACCTAAGTTCAGTTCTGCTCCCAAAGATCCATCCCTTTAGAGACCTCTGCCCCCCAGAGATCCCCACTGCTTCCCCCATAATATAACTCCTTCTGACACCCATTCACATAGTGGGGGAGGAGCATGGGGAGCAGGAAAGCTGGAGTTAGAATCTGGGTCCTTACAAGGGCCATTTGAGTCCAAAAGACCTGTAGGGCTTTCTCTAGCCCTGCTCCAGTGATCTACAGTGGGTGGGGGTGGAAGTCAGAAATAACTGTCCCTAGAGTCCTCAACTTTCATCCTAAGAGACCCCATCACTTCTCATAGAGATCCTGTCTTTTCTCCCAAAGGACTCCAGACCTCACTTCAGTACCCCCAAGTCCATCCTGCCTCCCAAAGTGCTGCTCACCAAGGGGACAGGGCAAGAATTGATTGTGGGGTAACATTTTTACTTTCATAACTGTTTATCCTGTTCAGAGAACCTTGAGTCGTCCAGAAGGCAGAAAAAGATGTCAAAGATAAATCTAGGCCAGGAACCAACCTGTCTTCAGCCTCTCAGGGCAGGGATCTAAGAGCTCAACCCTGGGGGAAAAAAGAGGGACCGAGGGAAGGAAGGGAGGCAAAGAAGGGGCAGAAACCATCGTTTTAGGATGAAGTGGTTCAGCACGGAAGGTTGAGAAGAAAGGGGACAGGCATGAGGTGTTCCCACAGACCAAGAGTGAGGATGGCACCTGGAGTCTTCTGGCCTTGACTGAGTCTGAAAAACATCTAGCAAAGATGGGAAGGAAGAAAGAAATGATTCAGAAACACCTTTCCCAATTCTGTCCCAGAAATGTGTGTATGTGTGTGCGTGTGTGTGTATGGGGAAGTGTGTTCTGTGACCTTTTCCAGGTCCAGGCAAACCCCTGGACTGAGCCCAAACTAGAAGCTGGACAGTGGTATTGGGAGCTCTACCTCACCTTTTCCCTCTCCTCCCGACCCCATGAGTCGCCCAAGCCAAGACAAGCCCTGGAGCCTGAGCTCCTCTCCTCTACCCCCAGTACAACTGGGACCTAGCTTGAGTAGAGAGAGGATTAGAGAACATTAGGTGCCCTGGCATGGAGAAGGGAGGGGTGGGAGAAAGGGAGGGATGTCTCCATCTGAACGGGTCTCCAAATTCTACCCCAAGACTGGTATATCCCTGCCACCAGAGCCGCAATTTCTGCCCCTCCAACTTCATCCCTGATTCTCACCTCATGACTCCTCTCGTGCTTCATCTCTATCCACCAGCCCATCCTTCCCCCAGAGCTCCATTATCTGCAACTGAATCCCAGAGCTCCCATTACTACCTCCCAGACCTTATTCCTCCAGTCTCTAAATGCCCTCATCACTGCCTTCCAAGAACCCATTCCTACCCCCAACCTCCCAGACCCCATTCCCACTCATCCCCAACCCATTATTCTTCCTCCTAAGGTGCCTTGCATTAAGTGGAGAGGTGACACTTGGTCTTCATTCACATTTCCTTTCTAAGTGGACTTCCATAGCTGTTCCCCATTTTAGAAAGAATGTAGTCATTCAGAGGGCTGAGGAAATAACCAAAATATATTCTAGGAGGTAATCAGCCTACATCTCCAGCCTCTTTCCCTCTGCCCTTAGCTGCCTGCACTAGAATAGTCCTAGGGGACGGGACCTGAGATTTTGAACCAAACAACAAGGAATCTCCAAGCCCACCAGTGCTTAAGCCCGTCTACTCCTCACACATACACACATAAACAGAGTTACACATACATGCATACATAAGCCTACAAACATACATGTATATAATTTATTTACATGCACATCTTAGAATAAAATGTAAGCTCCATGAGGGCAGGCATAATGTGTTTTTCTGTGATGTATCTCCAGTCCTATACAGCAGTGCTGGCACATAAGAAATATGTGCTGAAAGAACAGCACATAATGGAACATTTACTTGCAAATAAATGTATACATACAGCTATATACACACGTATAACAATGCTTCCATGTATAATGCTTATGTATACACAAACATATATGCACCTATATGGTTATCCACACACATATGTATGCTTTCAGATAATTCACATACATAATATATATTGTGATACACCTCATATATAGTGCATATAGACACATATACACATATCACTACTATGAACATATATCTATTACACATAAATATCACATATATACTAAACATACATGTACACCTTTACATACACAAATAAATACAAATCGAAGCACCTTTTTATTCCAAAATTTCTGGCCTTTTTAACTGTCTTAAGGCCCGGGGCCCAGATATGGCTGCCATAACCCGAAATATCCACCAGATAGCACTCTTTCTCCACTTCCTGTACTTCCAAGCATTGCCAGAGGTGTCGCCAGAGATGTCGACTCTCTTTTCGGAAGCACAAAACTTTCGGAGCTAATGCACCCTAGAACTTTCCCTACCCACCAGCGCACTGGGCGTGTCCTTGGCCTCCAAAGCCTGTAATCTTGGCCCTCTCCGAAATTCAGTTCATACTCTCGGGCCTCCAGGCTTGTGTAGAAGGGGCGGATTCCCCCCTGGGGCTCCAATTCTGCTCAGCTTGAGGGCAAATCTACCCTCCTTCACCAGCAGCACTCCATAGGTTCAGCCCAGGTTCAACCCCTCCCCCCTCTGTAGTAACGAGCAGCCAGACTCAGTGGCCCCATTCCCACAAGGACCCAAGGAGGGAATCAGGATCATTTGCACACATGTGACATCTACACACCTGTACACTTAGCCCTCTTCGGCTACTCTCTACATCCTGCCGTGAACGCCCAGCCCAGGTTAGCCAAAAGCTGGGAGAATGGCCAGGCCCTGGACCCTCCGCTTGGAAGGAGCTGGTCCTGATTAACACTTCCTGCCCTGTTGGGTCTTGACCCAGGATCTTTGGTTCAGAGCTGGAAGGAAGCTCATTCACTCATCTTAAGCAAACTTCTTAAAATCACGAAGGTGGGGGAAATGGGGGTGGAACACAGGCTCTCCTGCCTCTAGGCCTGCGCCACTCGGAGTCTGGAACCTCACTTGTCGGGTGTGAGCAAGCTAGGACGAAAATGCGGGGAAGGCTTGGAAGCCCGTAGGGAGGAGAAGCCGGGAGTTCTGGCAGCAGCTCAGCTTCCCCCTCCTCCTCCCCTCTCTTCCCCCGGGAGCAGCGGGAAATTATTTATTAAAACGCCGCCCGCGCTCTCATTTATTTGCGGCGAATAATCCTCGGCATCGCAGCGCGTTTATTAAACCTTTCCCGTCCCCGCATTACTTTAATAATAAATCGCGTGTCACTTTCCAGCGATGTTATTAAAGCCTGTCCACTGGAGCGGGGAGGGGAGGGGCGCACGGGTAGAGGGCGCAGCAGGGGTTCCTCCTATTCCAGGCTCTGGGGTCTGACCACAAGGAGGCTAAACCCGAACTTGCTGCAAAAGCAATCAATGGGGTCCCGGTTCTGGGGGTACTGTGACTCTCTAGGGTCGGGTGGAGCCTCTGCTCTGCCGGTGGGCGCCATAGGATCGATAGGCCCGCCAGGGGGCGCCTTAAAGGCCTGCTAGGTGGAAGTCCCTCTCACCAAGAACAAGCCAGGGGCGAATTCCCAGACCAGGTCCCCTCTTTCAGCACCGAGCAGACCTCCTTCTGTTCTAGACATAGTACAGCATGACCCTCCCCCCTCCCCCAGCTGCACAGCTCACATCCCTATCCCTGCTTCTGCAGTCGCCTTGGAATTCGTCCTAAGTATGTTGAGCGCAGCTCCTGGAGCCGCGGGGCTCCCAGTCAGGCAATGAGAGCTGTCCTCTAGTTTAACTTCTGGAGGAACCTTGCTGTTCCGTGAGAGGGGCAGCCAAGCCCTGGGTTTAGGGGTTCCGGACCACGCCCCTCTCAAGAGGCCGGGCTCCTGTGCTGGGCCTCAGAGGACAAGCTCAGACACCGAACTAACTGCGATCTTTCTGTGGTGGCGCCAGGCTCTGGGCGTAGCCCAGGCGCGCAGAACACTGCCGTCGCCATCCTACGTACGTGGCTCCAGAACTTAAGCTTTCATCTCCTTCAATCAGTCAATAAACACTGCACCTCACCAGTGTCTCTCGGCTAGGTAAGGAGAGTGTAGAGAGATTTGGGGAGTGAAAGAGTCTGGCTCTGTGAGGGACACTCAGCCAGAAAGAACAGGTCACAGGTGGGGCAGATGAGGAAACCAGTTTATCATGACTTTGTGTTCGGCAGGGAAAGGGTGTATTCCCAGGGGAATCCTAGGGTGTGGCCTATGCACTTAGCCAAATTTCTCCTCCACCCAGTTTTTGCTTTCATACTGGGTCCTGCCCACATGGACCATATTCCCCATTCTGCTTGGGGAGGAAAACAGAGTGAGATAAACAGAGGGGCAGGCAATCTATCTCTAGACCAGCCCAAATGGAGTACTGACTGAGGGGATACCCTCCCTTCCACCCAAATGGCTCCAGCCTTCCTCCCTAGAGCCAGGGTAGGCCCCAGCTCAAGCATCCTCTCTGTACATCTGGCACACATATGCTTAGAAAGCAGGACCTACAGCTTCTGGAAGCCAGAGTCTTACAACCATAAAATTCAGTCTTCATGTGCACATCTGCATGAACCATCTGTGCATCTGTGTGTCTCAGTTTGTTCATAAATCTTTATTGTGTGCTTACTCTGCCTAGTCCTGTGCTAGGCATTGTTCAGTACAAAGTGACATAAGATATGGAGTTTCCAGAATGACAGAAAAAATTAAACATGGCCATATGCCCATCTTACTGCACTAACCTAAATCATGCTCCATTGTGCTCTCCTGGACAGCATACGGTAAACAGCAAAGAGGACTGCAGTTAGTAAGTGCAACTGGGACTTAGGAGATAGGGAAATTTCTAGATGGTTAGTTTTAAGAAAGGGCAAACTGAGGCAAGGCAAAGATAAGGGACTAGGAAAATAATAGCAGGAGCTGTGCAGAAGGGCAGTTAGGAAGACTGGATGAGCAGGGCTAGAAGAAGGGCTGCTGGAAAGCAAGGGAGGAACCTGTGGTCTGCACCTTTCTGTGTCTGCTCCACTCTATCCCACCTCACCCCACCCTCCACCCTGCCCAGGGACTAGCAGGAAGCTGTTACCTACTTCCTAGTCGGTCCATACATCTCCTGCATGGAACCCTTTGCATCTCATCGCCCCTATCCCTTAGTCTCTGCTTCTCTCCTTACCCTCCCCCAATTTTTGTCTCCCCACCACCACTATGTCTTCCTTATTAAAGGCATTCTGTGAAGGGGCTCTGCTCCCCCTTCTCAGATCTTTGCAAGAGTAGGGATGAACATTATCCCCACTCACCCACCCCCCATGGGCCAGGGCTTCGGACCTAGTAGTAATCCTCTCCCTCTTCACTTTCAGCTTCTTCCTCAGGAATCGGGTGCAGGGATGGTAGGTGGGGGATGCCTGTGGAGTTCAGCTGGTCTGCAAACACATGTGCGCAAAGGAGAGAGAACAAGAAAGAGGGGCTATCAGTGCCCACATACTCCAGTCTATGGGGAAGTCATGCTTGCATGTGCACTCACATGCACATACACACATGGATACCCACTAGAGGGCCAGAATCCACCACCATCCCCTCCTGCCCACAGAGCCTAGGGCTCCACCCCCTTACCAGGTGTGAGTACAGTCAGGCTAGCTGGGGCCTCCACCTGGCCCAGGGCATTGCGGGCCAGGCAGCGGTAGGTGCCCTCATCACTGGGACGCACAGCTTGAATCTGCAGCCAGCTTGTCACCTCAAACCTCTGGGGTCCACCCCTAAACTGTAACCAGAGGAGGAGTCAGCAGGGTCCTTCTAGGTGGGCCCTAGGCTGCCCTTGGGGAAGCTCTGCTCCCTTCCCCTACCTGCACAGAGATGTGGGGGTCATCTCCTGGCAGCTGAATGTCCAAGCCGTCCTTCCTCCACTCAATGGAGGCCATGGGGTAGGCAAACACCTCACAGCCAAAGATCACATCCTTCCCGGTCACATTCCAAATGTCATATGGGTGTAACACAATCTGGGGCTCTAGGGGTAGAGGTGGGAGGCCTGAGAACAGGATGTCACATCCAGCCCAGCAAGAACCCCATATACAAACCATTGTTTGTGGAGGGGCACACTATATGCTGAGGTAAATACACCTCCATGAACACAACATGACACTTATGTGTACCAGCGTGGATGCAGGTACACACAGAGTGCAAACACAGAGATGGAGACGTATGTGCAAACAAGATGCACAAACAAGCATACACACACCTCAGCTTGGCAGCCACAGTCTGTCCCTGATTGCTCCCCTGTCCTCATTCCACCCTCTAGGCCCCATCCCTGTATTTGTAACCAATACCTCCCTTCTCCACCCTCCCCCTTTTTCTAAGGTTCGGTTGCCAAAGGCCCAAAAAGCCGCCCTTCCCCCACCTCACCCTGGGAGCGGTGGCGTCCTAAATGGCAAAGGCAGAGAACCTGAAACCGACCTGGGCAGCAGGCAGAAAGCCTGGAGTTGTGAGAGAAAGTGTTGGGACCCCCACAGGGTGTTTGTTTTCCTGGCAGCCTCAGCCCAGCCAGACCAGTCAAAGCGGCTCAGGAAGTGAAAGTTACTAAAGCCGCCAAACAAAACTTGAGGTTAGAATGGCCCTGGGATCGGTAAGGAGTTAGAAGAGCTCCCTCCCCCACTAATCTCTCAAAGCAGAAGAAGGGGGTTGAGGTAGGGAGGGGAGTAGACTAGGTTAATAGCTTGTTATACAAAGCTGCCCAAATGAGACCTGATTGCATCTCACAGGAACTCAAGTCTGCCTGCCTGGCTCCAGCGGTCTGGGGCAAAATCCGGGAGTCTCCACTTTCTCAGTTTTGAGTCCAACAATTGGCTGTGTGTCTGCTCCCTCAGAGAGTTGATCCCTGCCAGTGAGTCTAGAACTTTCACGAAAAGCTCCGGACCCAAATCTTCAGGCAGTGTCCTCTGCGGACCAAGAGGGAGAATGGGCTCCTATACTGGACTCCAGGCCTCATTTAAATTTTTTTTTTTGCTCTGCTGGTAAAGAACCAATGCCGTCAGGGGCTAAGGAGCAATGCCTAGAGGAACCCCAAATGCTGTCGGTAGGAGACCCGTACCCGATTCGCAGGGCCCTGGGTGCACCACAGTGAGGTTGGCTTCTGGCTGAGCGTGGGCCGCTTCCTGCAGACGGCAGATCTGCAAGTAGGTGCGGCCGTCGGAACCGCAGAGCGGGCGCTGCGAGCGGCAGACACACAGCGGCTCTGGCACCTCTCCGCGGCTCAGGTCGCCGCCTGTGTCCAACCGGCACTCAAGCTGCTCACCACAGCGCCCGTAGAAGTGGGCGCTGGGGTCCAGGTCGCAGAGCTGGCCCTCGAGGTTGGCGCATTCCCAGCAGCAGCCGCAAGCGTCGCGCACCTGGCCGGCCAGGCAACCCCGCGGCGCGGCGCATTCCTCTGGCCGGCAGGGAGCGCAACCCTCGCCCTCCGCCAGCAGCCGCAGCCAGCCTCGCCGCAGGTAATCCGGGCCAGGGGAGGGCCGCGCGCTAGTCGGGGGCGTTGCCCACACCACCAGCAGCAGCAGTAGCAGGGGCAGCGCCAAGGTAGCTGCGGGCGGCTGTGGCATGGTTAGCTGGAAGCCCTGCGAGCACTCGCGGCATCAGTGGGTTTGTGCACCCTGCCAGGGAGGGAAGCCAGGTCAGGAGGTTAGAAGCAACCTCACTGTTCCTCGTACCAAAGTTTGACTCTAGCACTGCCCCCTCCCCTGCTACCTTGGAATCAAGTAGACCCTCAATGCCGAGGCACAGGGGTCACCCAGTTATGCTGAATGGTAATTGATTGGGCTGTTCTTGGGAGGTAAGAGAGAGGTGAAAGGGGTGATAAAGCTCAGGAGCGCACACACGCGCGCGCGTGTACACACACACACACACACACCATCACCACTACACACCATTCAACTCTGAAGTTTCCTGCCCTAAAGGTGGATGGGAATGGATGGCCCCCACAAGAAGTAAGGAATTATTAATAAGGGTTGGAAGGGAGGGGGTGATGTTCTGGGGTCCAGAGTGCTCACCTAGTGTCCGGGACCAAGCCCTTCAGAGCAGCCGTGACTCCAGTCCGATAAAGCAGGCAGTGGAAAGAAAGCAGAGAACAATTGGCTGGGCCTGCCAGCCACCTCTGCTCCGACTTGAGGATCTCTGAGAGAGCCCCACGGACTTGGACTCAGAGAGCAGCTCCTCCGCCCCTCTCTCCGCCCCTAGGCGTCGCACCCCACCTCCCCACCCCCACCCTACCCCCTAGTTCTGAAGCTGCCAATTTTATGCGGCTGCACGGGACCCCTCCAGGGCCATTTCCCTTAGCCTGGGCCAAAGTCACAGTGAGAATAGAGGACCCGTAACCGGATACCAAAGCTGGGAGAGGACCAGAGACGGGGTGGGAATAGGGGGTAGGGGGGTGGCTGACCCGCTAGGCCCTGTCCATATGACTTTACAGCCCATGGAGTAGGAGTTCTGGTGCCAAGTCTGGCGCTCCTGTATAGGGCAGGGCCACGCAACGTCTCCCCTCAGTCTAAACCGGCTTCCCGCGGGTGATTGCAGGCTTGTCCACCCAGCTTCCTCACCAAGGCACCGACCAGAGGCTGGACGCTTATATCAGCCTCCCCACTCCTCCCTCCCTACATCCGGCAGGTGCTTTAACCACGAGGAGCTAGGTGATTAAAGGTCCGAGCCGACAAACTGCCGCAGGGAGAGTGGGCGGGGTGCCTCCGGCATCGGGATTACAGGTTATGATTGCGAGGCTAGCAGGGCTGGAGGCATAGGGTCTCGCAGCTGCCACCGGCGCCACCGTGGCACTTTGGGCTGGGGACGGGGAGGAGAGCGTTTCTGGAGGCCCGCCCGCCTAACCGGGGGTCTGCCAGGCCCCGCCCTGCCAGCCCCAGGCGGCTTGTAGAAGCCGCGCTAACGTTTCATTTCTAGGGGGCAGAAACGGAACTTTACAGTCGGGAAGGGGACTGCATTTAATGAGGCTCCGCCCAGAAGGACCTGGCCGGGGGCAGAGCAACTTGAGCAGGGGCCTCCAGACCTACTCCTAAGTTCAGAGCTAGTCCACGGCCTCGAGACCGCCCTGGGGGATCGGCTCCGCATGCGTACTGGAGAGTCAAGTGCCTGAGTGCCGTCCGGGACTCTCCCTCTAGGCCTGAACTCGTCTAAGCCCTTTCACTTAGGGGTTCCCTAGCAGCGTACACGCCACTCCTGGCCGCAAAGATCTGAAGAGGTGCACGAAGACGGGTACACTGTCACCCCGGTCTCTGAAACTTAAAAAAGGGACAGGAAGCGAACTTCACGCGTTGTCCGAAACTGTCGCGAGAGTTAAAACAGGAAGTCCAGCTGAACATGAAAAACCCGCGGGTTTTAAACCGGAAAAAGAGTGGGCGGGGCTAGTCTTGCCCGGTAATCGTCGGTGATTCCTTATTTTTGGCCTAGGGCAATTTAAGTGTCGAGCTAGGGAAGACTTGAACTGCAAGAGGGAGCTTGAAATTGCAGAGGTGACTAATGGAGCCATTCATCCAAGAAGAGGCCCCTGGCTCTGATTTACAAAGCGCCTTGAGAGCGGAGATTGTTGCCCGGGATACAGAGCAGAAACAGTCCTCTCTCTTAATGAATTGTTACCCGCTTTTAAGGCTTGGCGCCAGTATTTACAACAAAATTTACAGATCTAGAAACTTCTCTTAACCCACTTCATTGTAGTCGGTTGTTTACTTTCACTCTTTGCTATGCTCCAAGCGTCTGGTATTAGGAATTGTGTCTAACTCGCCACTGTATCTTGCGAACCTAGCTCCGCGCCTCACAGCACAGAAAAGTCTTGGTAAATATTTGTGGATCAAATGTGAATGACTTCCTGAGTGTGAAAGTCTTATTTAACCTAGATTTTCTGTGTCGCTAATGGAGAAGACTGGATAGACAGGGAACTGATGCCCTCTGGTGGTCTTGCGGTTGGTGACGAGAACATGATCCGACATAGAGCGGACACCAAAGATGTTGACTGTACAGGAAATATGCTTTTAAGTAGAGATTTTGTTCCTGGAAAGCACATATTGTGAAAATACTTTTAGGATGGAATTGTTTGCCTAAGACACATTTTGGACGTTTAGATACGTTCCCAGATCCTCATCATCTGACACTATCCATTAAGGCTCCAAAACACATTAAATCACATCTATTTGTATCATAAATTTACTAAATATTTTGCCTATTTATATTTTGAAAATGTTGAACCAGTTTTCTCAGATCATGCAAAATTGTTGGGCTATAGAGAAAGGATTCTCTCACCTAGATGATGTAAGTACTACAAGGAGGAAAGCCAGGTGGTAGTATCCTTTGAGTGTCTACATGAGGGAGACCAGATTCAGATGAAGAGGGAAGTTAAAATTTGTTGAAGAACAGGTGGTCCTGCCTCTTTCCACTCCCCACCCTTTTCTGTAGATGTTTGTACTGAAGAAGGAATGTGATATAGAGTGTCGTTTGCTTTTCACTGAATCATAGCGTGGAGTTCACAAGTTTTCATACTTTCACTTTCTTTCAGCTACAACCCATGAAATAACTAAAATATAATGACAGATTGAAATGGATCCTATATAAATGAACAATATAAGATGAAACAAGGCATAAGACATCAATGTGTAAGTTGATAAGAAATTACTTGGGAGGACCCACACATTCTAACCTGTCACTTTTTCAGCCCTGTTTTGATATAGCTGGTGAAAATAGTGGGTTGCAACTTTGAGGAAGAAGCAGAGTGAAACAATTGGTCTAGATTGATCCATTAGAGATAGATACAGAGGACTTGTGCTTCCTCTGAACATTAGAATCAGTTAAGTAAAAAAAAAGGGGGGGGGGCTCAACTAGATCATTAAGACCAAATACCTTGTAGCTACCTACTATGACAAATAGGTAAACTCAGTCAAAGTGAAAAATATGTGTAGGAAAATAAGGTTAAGTGAAAAAAAGAAGTATATGGGTCCTGAATACAACCATGTAAATATTTATCATATATCATCAGTAAACACCTTAAGAGAAGTTGGAATGAGGCATATAGCTGAGTATAATACTATTATTTTATAAATTATTTTTCATAATAAAGTAGAAAATGTTTTATAAGTAAATTAGGATGTTGAGATAAATGTAGAAAGTTAGGACAGCCAGGTGGGAAGACAGCATTATAATTCAGCTATATGTTACCAAATGAAAGCTGGAATACCCAGGAGACTAACTCTCTAGAATATCGAGGCATTAAGTCAAGTTGAACAAGCTTTAAAACACGCATAAAGAAATCAGATGAAAATTTACTCAGTTTACTTTTCTTATATCCTAGGAGGCAACTCCTTCCCCTCTACCTTCACCTTTCCCATTCACCTTTGAGATGGAGACTGTAGCTCCATCTGACCTAATGACTTGGCCACATTTTGTATTGATAAACTTGAAAAGTATGTTTAAATCATTTAGACTCTTTCTACATTTCTTTTTCTTTTTGCTTTGAAGTATAACAGACAAGCAGAAAAGTGCACAAGATAGCTCAATTAATCATTACAAATGAACACTCATGTGTGCATCATCCAGGTCAAGAAACAGAACATTACTAACACCTCCAGAAACTCCCATCATGTCTCCTTCCAATCATTAATTCTCTTTATTAATTAATTCACTTCTAACTCTATAATTTTACCTGCTTTTGACTTTTATATAAATTGGGATACACCTAGGAGTAGAATTACTGCTTCATGTAATATGCACACATTCAACATTAGTAATTACCAAATGGTTTTTTCCAAAGTGACTGTATCAGTTTACATAGTCACCAGCAGCTTATGACAGTTCCCATTGTGCCACATCCTTGTCAACACTTTGTATTGTCATTTTTAAAAAATTTTAGACATTAAATAAATGTTTTAGAGTCTAAGATTTTAAGATTGTTAGTTCTGCAAGGATTTCCTTTCCTAGATTAAAAAAAAACTTTATTTTTAAATAATTTTAGACTTGCATAGGAGTTGCAAAAATAGCACAGAAAGTTCCCACGTACCCTTCACTCACCCTGCCCTACTGATAACATTTTATGAACCATAATATAATTATCAAAATCAGGACTTTGACATTGCTACAAAATTATTAACTAAACTATAGAAATTATTCACAATTCACTGATTTTTACATGTATTCATGTGTGTTCATAATTGAAATTTTATCATATGTATAGGTTTGTGTAATCATGAGGCGAGTAAATGGGTCTTCTGGGGTATGAGAGGATAAATGCCATGCTCATGCCAAGGGAAATACTGGTTGAATCTACAATACTAGATAAAATGTCATTTAATACATAAGCTGCTTTAAAAGCCACTGAAGGGAAAGGAGGCTAGTTGTCATAGCTAAATACTCTCACACATTTTCACACTCTGCATCTACTTGTTGGTGTAGCTGTGGGCATGGGTAGAGTCCCAGGGTCAGTGGTTGAAGTCCACTGCTCATTATGGCACACTCAGAAAGATTTGGTGATGACAACTGAAATTCTCCAAAGCAGCAGGCTCTTCAGTCCTGCCTTACGTCCACTTTTTACTTGAAGACAATTTTCTGTAGGTAAAGCCAACGAGGTCACTTTCTGCTGACACCTCTACAGTGATTCCTCATTACTTCCACCATTATTTTATATGTTAAGATGATTCCCAGATTTCTATCTGTGGCCTAGACCTCTCTCCTGAACATTACATCGCAATATCCAAACTGATTAATTCATTTCTGTTGTTGTTTTTTCACAAGAAGCCAGAAAGAAGGCTATAAAGAGCTCCAGCCTGCATCATACTTATGATTCCCATCAATATATCAAGAACATCAATATGTCAAGTCACAGAGAAATAGTTTATTGACTCTGCTTGGATGATATGCTCAAGAAGACTTAGTCACATGGCCAAAGCTTGGCCAATGTGGAACACAGATCTCCCCCTGTAGCAGATGCAGATGTGCCCCACACATTTACCTTTGGCCACACCAGATGTGACTTGAAGAGTTTCTGTACAGTCTCATGTGTCTCTCTGCCTGAGAGAGTCCTCTGGCCCCTGGAGTGAGCTCAGCTAGCAGGGAAGTCTAAAAATGCCACAAAGTTAACTCAGGAGCAAGATCCTATAAGGACAAGGATTTGGAGGATAAATACCCTGCTTCCTTTTCTTTCAGTGGGATAATTCTGAGGTGTATTTTGTCCAGTCTTGCAGAAGGACTGAAGTGGGATTGAGCCCTAGTTGCCCTCAGTGGTAACCCAGTCATTGATACACCCTTTACATGCTTTCTTTCCCTTCTCTCACTTTTCTTCCCTCCTCTC